AATAAAGCCAAGTGCCGGGTCCTGCACCTGAAATCCAATACATTCTATTTGCAGCTCTTCAGTATCCCATAAAGGAAAAATTAATATTACTGTTTCAACTGATTTTAACAGCTGTATCCTATTTTGCACGTTTTAAATTTGAATATTTCTTTTCCTATTTTAGAATCTCATCCTTAAGGCTACCCTGTTGGTTCTTTTTTTTTCAAATCTACTCTAATGTGTAACTTGTATTTAAAACCTTATTTTAAATGTTTGCTGGTGACTTGGGTGGGGAACTGTTGGGCCCAGTATTACCAGCAGAAATTTTGTTTTCTAGCTGTGGATTGAATTTGGCTGTTGCGTTACTTTTCTCCTATAAAGTGTAAGTGACACACTGGAGGGAAGAAGGGAATGTCTCAAAGAATTTTGTTCCAGAGGGTTTTTACCATCTAGGTGCCTGCATTAGCTTCAGGCAGTGCATTTGAAAGTGAAGATATAGTGGTTAACAGTTCCACTAGTTGTCAAAATGGCGCACTGGATGGTAATTTCTGCAGCATGGTTGACCATTTCCACGTGAGAAAACTGTTTCTCAATTGGAAGAAGGGAGAAAAAGGATTTTTCTGCCTGCAAGCTGCTAATGCATCTGTGTAATCTTTCTGAGAATATTAAGACATCTGTTACAGGGTTTTTCTGGTTGAATTCACACACCTCTTCTGTTCAGAAAGCTGTTCCTAAAAATTCCCATCCTTTCAGATTTGATTCCTTCCCTTCCTGAAAGCTTACTGTGCTCTTTTTTTCCAGAGATTACTTTCCTGACTATTACATTTAGCTGATTTTATTTGGGTAGAATCGCTGCATGATGTGGCTGTTTGTGTCGTTTAGGAACAAATCAGCATTTCAGCATGTTGTTAACAATAAATTTTCTCTAATTAATTGACAGTGTACTACTGGAGAAACAGTTTTATACTCTTGGGCTCAATTCTGGAAGGTTCATACAGAGGCAAAACAGGATTACACGTGGTCATTAATATTTTTCTTCTCTCCCAGGAATGCTGTGTTTTCGAATTTGTCTAAATGTGCTTTCTCTTCTGTTTTCTTCCTGTTCTTCTCTCAGAGCATGTTTTCTGCTTTTCTAGGACAACTAAAAGACAATGTACTTTGTATGATGGGCAGCATTCCACTCATTTAGGAGTATGTCATATTCCGATGGCAGAGCCATTCTGCACCAAAACCAGAGAGGTTAGTGAGTTTTGTAATAGTATTTAGAAATGTTATTTTTATGGCACTTATTAATGATATAGTAGTCTAATTATGCATTCTTAGAATACAGAGGCAGTCTGCACCTCTTTATTCCTGTTTCTCAGATATGTCATGGTATTAAGGAAAAACATAACGTTTGGAAGGTATGGTAAGTCAAAGATCTTGTGCCTGTAGGATTTGTCTCCTAACAGAGAAGAAGAACCTAGGTTTCCCAGGATCTTAATAACCCGAGAAAAGATCTTTATTTGTCAGGTAACAAGCCAAGAGAGCAACAAAGTGGACAAAGAAGGAAGATAAAATTAGGCATTACTTCCTGTTTGTTCTGAATAAAACTGCACCTATGCTAGAGGCACTCTACATACTTAATATAAAGAATTAAATAAGTAGTACTTTGGCATTCATAGAAATTACAATATTGCATTTGGTTTTTTGTGCATTGTAGCAGTATGTGGTGATGGAGAGTCAAGGCTTAGTTTAAAGGATGTTAAATGTAGAAATAAGCCAAATCACAGTAGTCTTTTATTCTCAACTGTTGCTCTGAGTTCTGTAACTTCAAGCTTTTCAGGCTTCAAAAATACTTAGACTAAGCAGTGTGAAACCACTGCTCTGTTTTTCAGCACCTTTAT